AGCTGTGGGGGGTAGAGGTACGGGTTAGGGTTAGGATAGGAGCCTAATTAGAATGAGATTTCTAATATACATAAAATGTCTCTGACTGCGTATAAAATGCTGCGCAGGTCATAGTTAAATCATTCTAATTCATTTATTCATTTACGGAGTCGGGTTAACTTACCACTGAAGAAGAGTGGGGTAAGTAAATTAATTAGAATGAGATTTCTAATATACATAAAATGTCTCTGACTGCGTATAAAATGCTGCGCAGGTCATAGTTAAATCATTCTAATTCATTTACTTAGCCCACTCTTCTTCAGTGGTAAGTTAACCCAACTCCGTAAATGAAATGAATGAATTAGAATGATTTAACTATGACCTGCGCAGCATTTTATACGCAGTCAGAGACATTTCATTGTCCTGATTAAAGAAATAAATAAATGTTCTGACTCTGCCCCCCCCAGCCTGCACCATGCACCAGAGCCTCCTCCGGGGGGCGCCGGTGGAAATGGACGCCCGCAGCGTGGCGTCCGGGCTGGCGCCGCCGTCCGCAGGTGAGTCCAAGACACGAGGCCACGCCCCCAACCGCAGAGGCCACGCCCACAACTGCACAGGCCACGCCCACAACCACAGAGGCCACGCCCCCCAACAGGGGCCGGCAGGGGGGCGGAGTCTGGGCTCAAAGGCCAAAAGGAGGTCCAGGTTTGAACGGTCTGGATGCAGGCGGGCCGGTCTAATTCCTGGAGGGTGGGCTTAGTCTAATTGCTGTAAAATGGGCTCGGTCTAATTCCTGTAAACTGGGCTCTGTCTAATTCCGAAACACTGGGGTCAGTCTAAATCCTGTAAACTGGGCTTGTCGAAGCCCTGAAGACTGGGCTACGTCTAATTCTTGAAGACTGGGCCTGTAATCCCTGTAAACTGGGCTCAGTCTAATCCCTGAACACTGGGCTCAATCTAACTCCTGTAATCTGGGGTCTAATTCCTGAATACTGGGGTCAGTCTAATTCTTGTAAACTGGGCTTGGTCTTATTCCTGCTGGCTACTCTCAGTCTAATTCCCACTGGGTGGGCTCCGTCTAATTCCTGCTGGCCGGTTCCATCTAATTCTTGAAGACTGGCCCCGTCTAATTCCTGGAAACTGGGCTCGGTCTAATTCCTGAAGGCTGGGTTTAGTGTAATTTCTGTAAACTGGGCTCGGTCTAATTCCTGAAGATTGTGCTCCGTCTATTTCCTGATTAGTGGGGTCAGTCTGATTCCTGTAAACTGGGCTCAGTCTAATTCCTGAAGACAGTTTTTTTGTTGTTTTTTTTTTACATTTTGCAGGCGTCAGATTAAAGAATATAAAGAATATAATGAAACTTGATCAGTTTTCACCTTGAATATCCGGCCTTTTAACTCTAACTGTAAGTCTGAAACGCGTCTGTGGGTTGTGGGTTTGTTCTCTGACCGTTCTCCTGCTGGGGTCAGTCTAATTCCTGCAGGCCTGGTGGGTCTAATTTCTGAAGACTGGCCTCAGTCTAATTACCGTTTTTTCTTTGTTTGTTTTTTTACATTTTGGAGGCGTCAGATTGAAGAATATCACCAAACTTTATCATTTTTCACCTTGACTATCAGGCCTTTTAACCCCCAGACTCTGAAACACGCGTCTGTGGGTTGTGTCCGATTTGTTCTCTGACCGTTCTCCTGCTGGGGTCAGTCTAATTCCTGTAAACTAGGCTCAGTCTAACTCCTGAAGACTGTTTTTTGGGGTTTTTTCTTTCTTTTTTTTTACATTTTGCAGGCGTGAGATTAAAGCATTTGAACCTTGAATATCTTATGAATTAGATGAATATCTAATGAATACCTTTTAACTTTAACTTTAACTCTGAAACACGTCTGTGGGTTGTGGGTCTGTTCTCTGACCGTTCTCCTGCCTGGGGTCAGTCTAATTCCTGTAAACTGGGCTCAGTCTAATTCCTGAAAACTGGGCTCAGTCTAATTCCTTAAAAACTGGGCCCGTCTAATTCCTGTAAACTGGGCTCAGTCTAACTCCTGAAGACCGTTTTGGGGTTTTTTTCAAATTTTTTTTTACATTTAGCAGGTGTTAGATTAAATAATTTGAACCTTGAACCTTGGGTCTAATTCTCTGACCGTTCTCCTGCTGGGGTCAGTCTAATTCCTGTAAACTGGGCTCAGTCTAATTCCTGAAAACTGGGCTCAGTCTAATTCCTGTAAACTGGGCTCAGTCTAACTCCTGAGGACCGTTTTTGGGGGGTTTTTCTTTTTTTTTTTACATTTTGCAGGCGTCATATTAAATAATTTGAACCTTGAACCTTGGGTCTAATTCTCTGACCGTTCTCCAGGCCTGCTGCCCTTCCGGCTGTGTGAGCGTTTCGGGGCGGGCGTGGTGCTGGTGAGCGAGCAGCAGCTCCGGGCGGCCGTGGCCTCGCTGTTCAGCGCCGGTCTGGTGGTCGAACCCTCGGGCGCCGCCGCCTTCGCCGCCATCGCCAACGAC